TTTCAGAAGCGCAACTGGACACACTATGCATAGTGTGAAACCTTCTGGGGCTCACTCTGCTGTGATGCTTCCAGCAACTCTGCGGCTGAGGATGATAATGTTTTAGAAATAGGAAGTGATGTATCTTTAATTATGCCTCTTATCGTCGGCTGAGGAGACACACTACGCTTACACTAGACCAGCCAGTACAGTGCTAAGAGTTGTTACCTTTTTCTGGTTGGGTTAATGAGCCTATGTGCGTTTAAGGCTTTACATGAATGAAGTACTTATTAATAAGTTAGGTCTTTGATTTTTGAAGGACTATATCTGTACATTTGCATCAACATAACGTCTCCTCCCGGGACTCATGCAATACGCTTCTGTTACCTGTAACACTGAAGTGATCTGTTAACATACACATACTCTACTCACAGGATACTGCTCTGTATTCATGTGCACACTGTTCATATGCAGATACTCCATGTTTATCTTTATCTTTGCACTATTTACATCCATTGAACTGTTCCCTCATGTAACTTATCTTCTTATTCTGCACTATTTCATTCCATTTCATCCCATTGCACTGGTGTTCCTAAGCTTAATGTACCTTGTCCATTACTGTAATTTGAATACATAGTCTGTTGTATATCGTACATTACCCTACATATCTTACTGTGAATATCAATTGTACATATCCATCAGTAAATTAGTTCTGACTGTTCATACTGTTGATACTGCGCACTTTTCACTGCTGTTATTGTGCTTCTGGTTCAACATGCATTTAGTTGCCTTTTCCTTGTACATGGGTAATGACAATAACGTTGAACCTAATCTAAAAACAAAGTTTGATTCCAGGCCATATAGCCTACTTTATTCTATTATTTTTCCAAGACGCTAAGCCTCATAGGAGTGAAAGCTCCTGTAAAGTGAAATAAACGCAATAGCATGGGAACTCATGGAGAACTGAAAATAAACTCCACCCTGTGGTAGCTGAGAAAATGTTTGGTTAACATATAGAGTTTGCCCTTCTGCACTCTCCAGTGGTTGAGTGAGCAGTCTATTTCCACCCTTTTTTAAATATTTTATTTTAAACACTGTGACACACAATTACCTCAAGCCGAACTGTCATTAACAAGACCAAGCGAAAGTTAATTTACTTCATTCATGAGCTTGATATACAGTATAGAGGCAAAGACAGAGTGCAAGAGAAAAGGTGAAGTAAATGAATTCTTTCATAGTTGCTCTAAAATTCTGTTTTCTGAGTCACTTGAACACTAAGCTCCTTCAGTGACACAACCATGAGTCAGATGACAACATGCACACAGAGGCATGGTAACACTCATAATGAAGATGCAATTCCAAACACACACATGCTTAGAAAATCTCGACAAATAAAGCATCTCTTTTGTATGCACAAAAGTGTTAAATACTCACTAAAAGTTACTTGGGGTGTGTCTTGTGGATGTTACTTTTCTTTGTTGCAATGTACTATAGAAGATATTAGCTTTAGTACAAGTGAAAATACAAAATTACTACAGTCTCCATGTATGGATTTCTGATTTATGGACAGAAAATGAAAATACGCACAACACATAAATGTCTTAGCTGATAAAAGTAGAGAGTATGAAAACTATTGCATCAGTAATGACATCACCTTCCTCAGCTGCCCCGATGAACTCACTTTATGTAAGTCATTCATTATGAACTGCAGCGGTCCTCTCAAGATGCTGCGAAAATGCCTTTAATCAGGATCTGTCTCATCCCTCCGTCCCCATAAGCCAGTCTCACGTGTCATCAGTGTGTGCAAACAGTTCAGAAAAGTCAATACTTCCAGAGACTGATGTGATGATGGGTCAAATACAGCAGAAGACACATCACGCTAAGACCCATAGGAAAGTGTGGGCAGCTCACAGACTGGATTAACTGGCTATGTTATGGGGGCCAACAAACAAACTAGCGCTGAGAGACCAGTTGCCATTTAAAATATCAATAAGATTAATGAGTTTCTGTGACTATAGCGGCTTTAGTTCAAGTACAACCAATCCATAATAATTAGTTAAAGTGATTCAGGTGGAACCATAGGTTTTCCTAAAATGCATTAAGTTTGGACCACAGTAGAGTCAGAATTGACGCAACACTGGTGGTCTAGGCTGGGAAATGCAGATGGCCCTCTCTACAGGTATCTGTCTTAGTTATCCTTCAGAACTCCAAATATGCCTCTGCAGGAAAGTGAGGTTCCAGATTTTTGAAACACGAGTGAGCATTGCACAGGGAATGCTAACCATAACATCCTACTCCAAGAGGCTCCTTCACTGAGCAAAGTACTATAGAGTGGTAGAGCATGGCTAGGAGAGAGGGAGAGAGAAAGGTGCAACAGACAGACTATCCTAGCTGTGTTGTTTTTTATTCCTGCCTCCACAAGCAGTGATTAATTCTGTCCTGAGGGGAGGTGGTGACATGACCTGCTACTCCTACTACATGACATTTCTGCTATCTTCTAACTATTACAGCCTGCCTGCTGGTGGAGTGGCAAACTGTTATTCAAGACAAAAGAAAAGACAAGACTAGCACAAAACATTTGTACTCGGGGTTCTGCGTTGGCCAGTGCTGGGAAGACGTCAGTCAGAAGTACACTGTTTCCTACTCAACATACAGAGAGGATTAGAACAGCAAAACCTGTGCACCACAATGTGGAGTCTGCAGTCCTAAAAGTATGGATGACACTGCGAGTGTCTTTTGGAAGATTAAATGACACATGGCTGAACAACAAACAACAAAATCTATGCCTTCAATAGGAAGAAAAAATATAGAGGCAAACCAAAAATTTGGGAAATCTGTGCTCCAGTGCCCTAAAGCTGTTTCATGGACCATTTACAGACAAGGGATTTAAGAGAAAAGCATCTTGGAAGCACATGCCCTGTGTTCTCTAACCTAGTGAAACAGATGGATGCATTACAAAAAGTGAACTGCTGATATAGATGTGTTGATAATACTGTAGCTCTTACATATTTGATTACCAAGGCATTTAACAGAAGAATTGGTACTAGAGCATTTGAGGGACCGACCATGCTGGAATATCATTCAATGGCCAAAAAAACAGACCTCACACTTTTTGTGAGGAAGAAACATATCCCCTAGAGCAGCAGTGTAGCTCACTAGTGTGGGTTTAATAGTTTCTGGACAACAGTGGGGGTCTACAGCACATAGCAACAAGCTAATCCAGGGTCTGGATTCACAGACAATATGGTGAAATTCATTGCTGGTTTTAGTCTCTGTATGGAATGTTTTGAAAACCAACCATAACAAAAACACTACCCTTGGTCTTTAACAGGTTCCTTTCAATATGAAGGAGCAATGGTTCCTTCAAGCACCTTCTATGTTTAGGCTCCTTACCCTGGCCCTGAAGGTGAACCAAGACACCCTGCAAGAAAAATGCATTTCTGCCACTAGTACCCACCAAGTTTCTGCAGTGAGGTATAAAAATCTGGTCCAATGCTCCACAACAGTCTGGAATCTGCACTATTCCCACTGTATACTGCTCAACAACTGGTTGCCTCCTTTCAAGCACACAAATTTAAGATTTCAGCAGTTAGTACAAGCAGTTTAACTGACTGTGTAACAAAAGCACACTGTGTTGCAACACTGTAGAGATGTGACAAACAAGACAGCTCAACATTTAGCCTTACAAAAATCTTGTAACTTTCTACAGAGGGCATGTCTGTTGGGTTTGTAAGTTTTTCAAAGTGTTCCTCGCACTCTGCCCAGTAATATCCCCAGTTGAGATCAGTGGTCATCCTCCCCTGCTGAGAAGCCCCTAGTCCTTCTTGAGTCATCAGACAGCTTGCCAGAAGCTTGTGGAAGCCAACCAAAATATCTCTACAGGAACTCCCCAAACTCATTCCACACTGAAGTTTTTGCTCCTGCAACAACAGAAGCTGCAGTCCTTCTCAACTGCAGATTCTTATGTGTTGATACAGAGTTCCTCTGGGTAAGCCAAGCCCGACAAGATTACTTCTTCAGCTTGACAACTTTTTTCAACCAACTGTGCTCCCCAGCAGGTAATCATGCTACCGACATGAAAGGCACCTGACAAGACCCTCTGGTCACAACTCCTAAAAGACACATGAGCAATGATATTTCTGAACATGGCACACTTGGGTAACATGTCTCCAACTTCAAATGAAAAAATAAATTACTAACATAATTCTACAATTGTAGACTTCATGCAAAGGAGTTTCAGCCAGATATTCCTAGTTCACATTCACTGAACATTTGGGTCCACTATTACCCACAAGTCTTGAAGTACCCATGCAAAACTATGGTGGTGGGCTTGCTTGAAATCCACCTAGTGATTCCAAAAAAACTGGAAACCCCAAACTGCTGAGCTGTGGGCAGAAGCAACAGTAACAGCCTTTTCCTTAGGAACACATTTTTGGGGGGTGGGATGTTATATGCATCACCATAGCCACCTGGCACCACTCGCCCTGGTTAACTCTGTACCAGACATGTCCAGTGCAGCAGTTCAGTTAAAAAGTCACTGATGTGCATAGAGGTTTAATCCAGTAACATGTAGTTGGTACAACTTCATGTCCCATACGAGCTATGACATTGTAAACAACAGAGAGGTACGATTTCACACCTCAGAAGCCAGTTTTCATGGGCATAAGTCAGAGCAGCCCAGAATTCACCTTGGCCTGCCACCCATGTGGCAATGCATCAGACTCTTACACCTAACCTTTGCGGGAGCTGACCCACATGGCATAAAGCCTATGTTATGAGTTTGGGGCTGAACCTTAACATGCCCAACTGGTGCAGGCCAGCCACAATGGACTTTCCTGCAAGCTCATGTTCAAAGTGTGGCTATTCCCTGTGTGTCTGAATGTGTATAATTAATAAATGCAAAACTTATTCCATAAATCTGGAGAAGCTGCAGTGCTTACTTACAGTATGTGAGAAACTGAAGTAAGAGATTCATGAGATGGAATAAATTACCAAAAAGCACTGCAAACAAGTTAGGCTACCTGGTTTGGTGTCCTTGCAGCAGGCTTGTCCTGGTGATTAGCAAGGATGAGGAAAGGAAGTATACAGAGCTGGGGGTGCTGCAGAGCCGAGTGCAGCTCATTACGTGCTGCTTCAAGGTCCTCGTCTGATGACGCACTGTCCAGCACGAAGATTACACCTTGTGACCCCTGGTAGTAACGACTCCAATATTTCTTAATGTTGTTGGCTCCTGTGGACAGACGAATGATGCCATTAAATGTCTGGGATGTTACTGCTGCCATGAGAACTGTCAACAGCTCCTATGGTTGAATGCTTTACACCAAAAAAAATTTCAACCCATTTTCTTTTTAAATAAATTACCAACACTGTTAACAATAAATCCTTATAATCAGAATATATTACACATTAGAAACTACAATACAATTCTTGACCATCATAAGCAAATCACACCAAGTTATTAAATTCGCAAAGAACCACCCAATACTTTTATTTATAAAGAAGCATCTTTGTTCACTTTGAATGTACCTGTTGTGAAATTTATGTATCACAGACTCTTGAATCTGGCAGCGAATTTTCATTACCAAAATCATCATGATCTTCCCCAGGTAAACCGATGTCTGAAATGATGTACGTTCATTTAAGCGAAAATAATCATGTAAAATACTATTTTGAAATTCAAAAATCTATTTCCCCCTCTTTTGTGTAAAGTCTTAACCACTACAATTTGCGGTATGAATTTTGAGCTATGCCTTTTCATGCAATATTTCTCAGCAACTCTTCAAGTTACTGTTAAAACACAGGAATGAGCTCCAAAGTCCTTAAAGTAAATACATATACTCACTGCATTTTTCAAATGGAGTCTGGGCTTGTTTTCAAAGAGAGACTGACATTGAGTTCACTGCGAACAACATATGGTTCCTTTTTTGTGTGCAAATTTGGAGCAAGAACATCCACTCACAGTGGTTTAGTTCATAACAACTTCATGTGTTAGGGTAAGGAATCTGAGGCAGAGACCCACTTGCTCACAGAATGAGTAAGTAGAGCAACTTTTATTGCCACCACGCTCTGATTGCACTACTGGCCTTTCCTTTCTCTTACTGACATCGTAGGCAATGCATTTGAAGAGAAAGAGACATTTTTTTTAACAAACATCACTTTCTGTTATTCTCATTCCTATGTACCGTCTTCAAATTTGGGGCCCCTGCTCAGGGTCTAGATGCTAACAGCCATTGCCTTGATAACCTTAGTTATTTTCCACTTGAAGCATAACATTACAATGTGATTAGTAGAGCTTAATGGGTCTGGATCTTCAGACTGGGGCTTTTCCTGACAGGTTAATGCCAGGACAAAGCCCTTTTACAATCTTCAGCAACCACGTGCCTCTCAAAAACAATCAAACACACAATTTTCATATCCAAATGGAAAAACAGAATAAGTCTGTTATAGCTGTAACGTAAACTCTGGCCTAAAGCTTTCTCTGCAAACTGGACACGTGCTGTATACTGAATCTAAAAATGCTCACCCTTTCACAAGGGTGTATAATGACCAACATTCATTGTGACCTAACAGTAAGCATTTATGGCAGATTCTCATTTTATAAGGGGACCACTCTATTACACTCCTAAAGTTCACAGCTGGTCCTGTGGTGTGGTCATAACAACCTGGAGCTGAACACGCTCAAAACAGTGGACATGACAGTGGACTTTAGAAAGAGCGCAGTGTGAATACTCTTTGAAAGCCACTGTACCAGACTCAAAATCCTTGTGGGTCCATCACACCTAGCCAATAAAGCCAATTCTGATAACTTTTCAGTCCATGGGAAAAAAAAATCTGCTCTTCTTAAGGTCAGGAATAACTAATGACAGCTGCTGCTTTCGCCCTCTCTTTATTGATGCTGACAAACTCAGTCAACACCACAAGCCATATTATGTTAGTCATATCCTCTCTGTTACTCACACTCCTCTAACACTGGGACATCTTGCTCCTTTCTTGTGAAAATTAAATCTATTGTTGAACACAAACTGACCACAGCCACTCTGTTAATGGGGATACCAGAAAGTTTCAACAGCTAACAGGAGGTGAGCTTTGAAGATTTTTGGTAAGTTCCACTTTTAAAAAGGTAATAACACTGTTTATTCTTTAAAAAATATTCCAAAATCTTTAAATTCTCACACTCCAAACCAGTGATGAACTCTGATTTGTGCAGAAATTAGATATTTCATTAAGATGCTCAACAAAGGCAGGAAGGAGTAATAAAATTTTGCACATCACTGAAAAATCATCTGTACAATTTCAGTTGTTAGGGTACTTCTGTATTTTGCCTCCCTTTAATATCTCCACAGTATAGGCTATTGTAATTTCAGATTTTTACGTTTTCTAATTAAAGACAAGGGAGTGTCACCACCTCTTCTGCGTCTTCTGCTCACTTTGATTACATTTCATGAACTTTTCTGAATGTTGTTTTTTTTTTTTTATAACATTTTCCATTAAATCATTCTAAATGCTCGTTCCACACACTCAACCAAATATGTCAGCATACACACAACTATAAAGGTTCCTATCACATTGCATACGCAAGTACATGCATTTGCTTCTAGCGGATGTACTTTCGCTGGTTAAAATTATCCTCCTCCGTCTGGTGAGGTTACTTCCTTTGCAATCTTGTGAACTGTTGTTTCGTTATTGTTGCTCAGAGTAAGGTAACTGCCAAGAAGTGACAAACTGTGAGGCTGGCAAATGTTTAAACATCACGAAGTGCTGTCAGTGACATTTTACCTCCCTTTCCTCGTGTTCTCCCTCCCTTCCTTCAGTCCTCCCCCACTCTTTCTACTCACACCTCTCACTGGAGTGGAAAGCTATCAGACAAAGTGGCACTTGAGAGATTGACTAGGAAGTGTCTCTCATCCTTGCCGGGAAATGGTGGAATGTCCGTTATGTCTCATCGTATCTCGGTGGCAGCTTCTGCCACCTATTGGTCTGACAGGAGGATTTCCAAACATGATGTCATGATTCTTGGGGAATGCTGGCAGCCCTAGTATATATCATCAATCAGCTGCACCATGCGTAAGCCCTCATTCCTTTGCTCGTTGTCCTCTCTTCTTTTCTACTTGCATTTACAACCTGTACACATAGTCTGTAATTATAAAATAAATAAAAAATACATTTAAAAACACAAGTTTTATACTTAGATTCCAGTCAGATGGTATTAGCCAAAACCCAGCAGTGTAACATGGGGGGTAAAAATATCAAGCTAGTGAAAGACACGTCTTACTAGTGAGAGTCGTATATCTTACTGTCCCTGTCAGGCACTGACTCATCAGATGGAAGACTTGTTGCCTCATTCATTTACTGTATGGGTTTTGACAGTGCTAATGAAATAATGAAAGGCATTTGACTGTGCTAGAGCCAAACGGAATGTAATGAATCTAAGTGATTTGTGAACAAATAATCACACATATATACTGTATAAGAAATATTCATTCTCTCATTAAAGGTATCACAGAGTATAGCACAGTCTTATGATACATTTTGCATTGAGATATACCTGTAGGAAGAATCTACCACTGGACTGTCTACCTTAAATTTTTAACATCAGCATGAACAGATGAAAACTACTCTTCTTGGATAAATCAGACATATTTACATTCATTGAATGCTGAACAATGTGTACTGTCCCTAATCAAACAAACAATTAAATACAATGAAATTTACAACGGAGTGTTTTTATTGCATGTCGCCTAAAAACATCTATGTCTATCTTAAGCTACGACTTTCGCTTCCCAGAGTAGCTTTCAACATCCTTTTCGTTTCCCTTGATACATTTTACTGTTGGTTTAATGTATAGGTGCAGGGAACAATAAAGCAAACTATCATGTTAGTAATGGCAAGAGAGCAAAAACTGACAGTCAGGAGAAAATATAAAACACATCTTGTGCCTGCATTACACAACAGTCTATTGAGGCTACCCTTGGCCAAAGAAACTGGTATCTCTTGCTTTCCCAAGATTGATTTAATCCCTGGGAGAGTTATTAAAAGCTGATGCAAAATAGTGTGTCAACTATGGGGTAGGTTTGAGTTTCCTGCAAAACTCAAACTTAACATTTATCACCAGTGTTTGTGTAAGACTAATTGTTATTCTATTAAACTTCACTGTAGGTCTCCAGGAAATAGCTTGGTGAGATTGAATCCCTACATATCAGTTTATCCATGGTGTTGTCACTGTATATCACTTTATCTTTTTTTGTGGTAGCAATGCACTACAGACCACATTTTTCAAAGTTGCATATGGACAGAAAGTTGATCTGGGGAAAACTCCTTTTCCAGCCCATCTATCCCTGCTTCTCTCACTCAAATAAGCAAGATGTTTTTTTCAACCCTCTGTAGTAGATGAAGCTGAAAAACACAGTAATTATGTATTCAATGTTCTACATAGAGTAAATAAATGTATAACAACCACGGTTTGAATTTTGGGAGCCGTGACTCGTAATGACTGTACTGTATACAAAGGCACTATGTTCCGGAGACATTTCCACTACTTTATGAAAACTTATGGAGCAAATAAATACAATTAGTCAATCAAGAAATTATCTGGCAGATTAGTCGTCAATAAAAATTCTCATTAGTTGCTGCCATAGCAGCTTTATGTCTTTGCTAAAATGATGAAATACTAACTCTAGAAGCAAACACAAAACTAAGGCAGTGCTCAAAAAAACTATCATGTTTCAACAAAAACTAAAGAACTAAAAAAAAGCAGTATGAGATACAGTGGGTACGGAAAGTATTCAGACCCCCTTAAATTTTTCACTCTTTGTTATATTGCAGCCATATGCTAAAATCATTTGTTCATTTTTTTCCTCATTAATGTACACACAGCACCCCATATTGACAGAAAAACAC